GGCCAACAATACAAGAGACGAATACACCTTATACGCTATCCTGCCTTGTACTTCTTGAAGTCGAGTCGGATGGCAGTGTTCTCCTCCTTCGTTCTTGTTAAGTCGAAGTCCAATTGGTTGCATTGTCGCTTCAAGCCTGCTCCATCCAACTGTGCGGACTCCAACCGCTTCTCACATCGTGCCAGTTTGTCGGCCAGCTCATTCTTCTCTTTCGCCGTGGATGCAAGCTGGGCCCCCAGCTCCTCCTTCTCTCTCATAAGCCTGTCGATGTCTCGAAGCAGCCGCATGCTCCGTTCTTGCTCTCCGGAGACCTTCGCCTGTTCGTTGGACAAATGGCCCTTTATGTTTTGGTTCGCCTGCTGAAGCTGTGCATTCGTCTCCTGAAGCTGCGCAAGCGACTCCTGAAGCTGGTCCCGCTCGATCTCTGCCGTCCAGACTTCTCCTTGAGCGAGTTGAAGGTCGTACTCGAGTCTGCGGTTCAGCTCCAGGGTTTCCATCAGCCGGCTGTGCTCTTCGCGAAAGCGTCTCCTCTCTCTTTCGTCCTGAGCTTCTCCCCTGTTGTTTCTTCGAGGGGCTGCTCCTCGTGCTTTCGCTTTTGGTTGTTGGCCGTGTTGCGACCGTGCTTTCGCTTTTGGTTGTTGGCCGTCTTGCCACCAGCCATGACGATTCGCCATCATACAGATTCTGTTTACTGTTACAGATTTGTGATGCAGCACATGCATAAGATGTTGTGTCACTCACTCTTATGCATGATGTGTCTTCTATTGGCATTCTGGAGATCTACCTGACTGTGTTGTGTCACTGACACCTCGACTTATCATGCATGATAGTTTGTCTGACTCTCACGCATGACACTCTTGGAAGTATCATGTAAGATCTGTTCATGCTCGGGACTAAGAGTCTGCTAAGCCTTCGCAAACTCGGCACTGAAATGAGAATGTATGCCGTCGACAGCATGGGATAGAGCAGTCACATGTTCATTGCAGACTCCAGAAGATTCAAGAAACCGGCCTGCCTGTGTGACATGGCAAGGTCAGTGCCACATCCAGGAGGCCTGGGGCTGAGCCGATCGATTGTACACCGGCAGAAGTAAGTGTCAATATGCTCGGTCACTGATTCTCGCCTGCGCTCTCTCAGCGCAGCCGGCAATCCAGCCTGCTTCTCAGTACAGAGACCATGTTTCAGCAATCTGAGAGACGAGTGCACCTTGAACAGCTGACAGAGCAGCACCATGAGGGGCACTGAGAGAGTGCGCCTGAAGTTGCAGAGGTTGGTTACACTTTGTAGATTGCATCATGTCGGTCTTGCAAAAGCACTGCACTCGGACAGATGCAAACTGACTGTCTTTTGATTCGCAACGACGTATGTAATGCTCTGTTGGCCTTGGTGCATCCATAGCCCTCAGACCTGAGGTTCCTAGAGGGCCCGAGTACTTAAAGATTCACCTCTTCAATCAATGCAGGGACACACGTCCAGCCTTGCTTGGCCAGGCCACTTCATTGCGAAGATCCGATCAGTCAGTCCATGCAATCCAGGCAAGTATCGGTTGTCTCCGGCCCAAGATCGCTGGTGGTCTGTGAGCGATGAGGATCGCTGCTTGTCTGTGAGCGATGAAGCACGTCCAGGCGGCACTCAACGTTGACCAGCGCCTCCAGCAGGCCCTCCTCAAGGTCGCGAAACTGCAAACGGAGTGAGCTCACTGCCGATTGCGAAGAATTGAACTTGTCTACTTGGGAACGGAGTAAAGCCACTTCCGACCACAAACAGTTCAGCTTCTCTATCGCCGATGTTACGGTAACCCACAGCGCATCAACCTTTTCCGCCTCGGTTGCGTAGGACGCAGGCAGTGGCATGTCGTAACACATCGAGCTTTTACGGCTCCCAGCGAACACACGCAAACAGTCATAAACCTGCAGAATAACACGTCTGACACCATTCTCTTTGGTTTCTCTTGTTCTTCTGTCTGTTTCTTGCTCGCTCTCTCTCTCTCTCTCTCTGTCTCTCTCTCTTTCTCTCTCACTTTCTCACTCTCACACAGTTGTCACCTCAGCGCTGGGACTTGGTCTTTCTTGCACAGTCACTCTCTCAGTGACCATGATGGTTCGGCCAATTCAATGTCTCAGTGACCACGTTAAGGTCGTGCCGGGATTGACAGTGATGCATTGGCTGCAGTGACAGTGACAGCAAATTTCTTTGCCTGACAGGCTCCGTCGTCCGGGAAGCCACACCGTGCCGGCCTCGGCATTACAGCAAAAGAATCAGCGCTGGAAGAGTGCTTGTTTGAACACTCAGCACAGCACTTGCTGTAGCAATCTGCGCTCAGAGAGTGTTGATTCTCGGCCTCAGCTCAGCACTGGGAGAGTGCTGCTTTGATGCTTAGTCTTGCACAGCAACAGCAGCTCTCTCAGCGGCTGTCACGGCGATGGGTGGGCCACTCTCTCAGTGGTCGCATCGACGTCATGACACAATGAACTGACTCACAGGCCGTTTTCAGCGCCTGGCTCCGCAAGGCCACACGGTGCTGGCCTCGGTGTGGCCAGAAGTGACATGAAGGCGTGCCTGCGCTGACTGACAGGCCGATTTGAATGCCTGGCTCCGGAAAGCCACACGGTGCTGGCCTCTGTGTGGTCGGAATAGTACTATCTGAGTTTGCAGTATCAGACTGGTCACTGAGACAGTGACACCAAACCTTTCTAGTCACTGAGAGAGTGACATCCAATTTTCCTGATCACTGAGAGAGTGACATCAAGCAATCGGTGCTCCTTCAAACCTGGGTTTCGGGCCCTGAGTCCACCTTCTCGGCCGCAACCTCGGCAAGGGGTGTCACTGAGAGAGTGACAGCAAATCTTTCTCGTCACTGAGAGAGTGACATCAAGTCATCGAGGCTCTCGTAAAAACCTGGGTCTGCTTAAAACTCGGGTTTCGGCATGGGAGTCCGCTTTCCCCCGGGGTAGGCGGACTCCCACGAGAATATAAACATGTCCACAGTAATTGGCTCAATTATCCAGCTCCATCCTGCCTGGCACACCATGGCTAAATCTCCTGCCTTGCGTGTGCAGAAACCTCGGACATCACGCAAGGCGACGACGAAGAAGAGATCCGTGAAGAGCAGAGGAAAAGCATCCAGCATGCCCGGGCAGTTGTGGGCTATGTGGCTAGCACATGTTCACAAAAGTGGTTCATGCTGGCTGCACGCCTGCTTGCTCCTAACACATCTTCTGTGCTTGCGAGTTACAGAAGCATTACAGCTACGTGCAGGACACTTCAATTGGAAGGCTCGAACAGTCTTGATACAGCCGCTCAAAGGCCAGAAATCTGTGAAGAAACCCATGATTTCGGCCGTGTTTCAGGTTTTGCGCTATTTAAAAAGCAAGGGTCTTAGCAAACGAAGGAGCCGCGCAAGAGGAATCCTGGGTAAGCGTCCTTTCCAAGATGTGTGGACCTTCCCAAAGGAAAATAATGCCTTGTTGTTTCCTGCTGTTCGTAAGGATAGCAAACAAGTAAATCGATGCAAAGACACTGTGTGCAAAGCCATCCAGCGGCTTCGTAAAACGTTTCAGACTCCGAAAGGTGTTTGGATTGACACGGAGAAAGTCAGGTCTCACAGCGGTCGACAGAAGATGGTGCAGGATCTAAAACTGGCCTCTGTGCCAGAGGAGGTTGCCATGCTGTACGCACGAATCGCGGATGCCAGGCCGGCCACATCACTACCCGAAAGTCTTGTCCACACTGACAGTTTCAGTCCTGTGTCTGCACAGGACATTCCGAGGATACGGACAGATTGCTGAGGACCAAGCAGGTGAAATCTTGGAGCAGAACGCAGACCTGAAGCGTCTTCTGCGTTTATCGTATCAGAAGAAGAATCAGAAGAAGAAATGACTGCCATGTTTCTCAACATCGTCAGACCTGAAGGTGCGTGCAGACGCACACTGACACGTACCCCAGACAGACAACCACAAAAATACATGTGTATACATATATACATAAACACAAACAATCACTCTCCTCTCGCTCTCTCTCTGTCTCCCTGTCTCTCTCTCTCTCTCTCTTCCCCTCTCTCTCTCTCTCTGTCTCTCTGTCTGTCTCTCTCTCTCTCTCTCTCTCTCGCTGTCTTTTTTGTCCTTGTCGGTGTTTCTCTCTATATCTATCTGTCTGTCTGTCACGCACCTTCATGTGCATGGGAAGAGAAGATGTACTCAAAGCCTCGCGCATTTGTTTCACTGCTCCGTGTACAGGCTGGACTGTTAATGCAAAGCTCTGGAGAAGCGATCGCCACAATGACAGAATGTCCGGCCTTTGCGTACACCTTCTCCTCGCACGCACACGAAGACTGATTCCTGGAGGCTGTGACCTCGAAGCAGCCAGGACTATTTTGCCATGCCCTCAGGTCATGTCGAAAAAAACGCACTGCTCTGGGCTTGCACAGTGACCTCGTCGCTGCCTTTTGTCATGCCACTGGCTTTCGCAGTGCAAACCTTTCTAAACTGCCATGAGACACCTGCTCCAGAGTTCCATTAGTCTCTGTGTGTGGCTACTGTATGCTGCAAACCCAACAAGAAGCCTGGCTGAAACGGTCTCAGGTGCAAGGCAGTTGAAGAAACAAATAATTCTTGGCTAGCCATTCGGATCTTGTAACAGTAACAAGAAGCAGCATGTGTGATTCATAAAAAATTAAAGCAGCATTCTTGCAGTTTGGTCTTCTATACTCTTTATGTGAACTCTGAGGCGAGCCAATGAACACATAGGCACATCCCCGGCGGCGAGCCAACACAGAGGCGCAATCGGTACAATCTCCTGCGCTTGTGTCCTGGAAAACTAGATTCAAAAAGCAGGTAGCTGTGCTGGCCAGGCCTTCCCACATTTGCTTGCCGTTTCAGGTGCCGAAGAGTACGTTGACTAACTGTTGGTGTCTGGACCGTCTGCACACACTAATCAAGAGGCCAATGACCAGTCACAACACCTTCGGGTGCCGTGGCACCTGCAAGCTTGGCTCAGCCTTCTTACGCCACGGGCTCGGCTGATGGTCCTTCACTTGCTGTCAGCTCGATTGCCGTTTGAGGGCTGAGTGGCACGGATTCTTTCAAGACAATCAAAGGTCGGCATGGAACCAGGCCCTTTGCGGAGGTCGGCGACCACTTAGAGGCCCACACCAAAGTAGATGCCCATGTCTCCCACCGAGAAAATGGAATGACTCCGCCCATGTGATGGACCGGGACACATGTCTTGCCATCCTGGTCCTTCACAGTCGACTTGCCTTTCTGACAGACTTGCACAGGACACAAAGGGCTTAGCAAGCCCAGCTTAGCAATCATGTTCCACAACTCCCCCACAAAGGGGCTTCAACTCCAAAAGTAGAAACCAGTACCAAAATCATGCTGGATGCAGTCAGCCGGGATTGCCTGGATCTCCCAATAGATTGTGTGAGTTTGAGACATCGTGAAGAAGGCTGGCTTTGTGCTTGTCGGCGAATCGCAGATCTTGTGGTAGGACACAGTCACATCCGGCTGGGTTTTGCGCCGCTCCTAATATCAGAAAGGGCCGAACGTTTTTAGGCTAGCTGCTGGTAAAAGCGTGGAGTTAAGGGGTCCGGGGGAGCTTCTCGTTTGTCTACGATCTCCTGCACTGCTTCGCCCAGGGTGTGCACTTTGCTTCCGATCTGGATCAAGCTGTCGGCATCCTTCAATGTGAACAAGATGTCACTCTCTTTGACAGAAGCCTGGTCTTTGCTGCCCTTGTGCTGCCACCACTTCCCCTTGTAGAATCCGGCCACGCAGGTGTTCTTCTCCAACACCACGTCCTTGTCCTGGCTGTGATTGACCAAGAAGATCCTCTCCCCCAAAGTGATAATCACTGAAACCTTTGCCTTGGCAGACTTTGGCAGATGCAAGTCTGCTTCCCATGTAAGTGGCTTCGGAAGATCTTTCAAGGGAATTGATCGCTTGGCCACGACCTCTGGATTCACAAGGGTCTCCACCTTCTGCTTCTTGGCAACTCGGCCTTGTGTGCCATCAGCTTCCCTCTTCAAGCCACTGCCGGAGCCACTGCCCGAGCCACTGCCAGCGCCACTGCTCTTGTCTGCCTTCTCCGGTGTCAAGTCAAGAGGAAGCTCCTCCCTCGATTTTTGCAAGAATTCTTCGAATTCTGTTTTGAATCTCGCGTGATCGCCCCATGCCGCGAGCACCCGGTCGGGCGTCTTGAGGCTCGGAAGGCCTTCGTACTTTTGCACCTTGTTGAGCAGCAGAGTCTGCAGATTTGGTAGCGGGGGTGCGGCTTGCTGCAACTCGGTGGGCATCTCAATCGGGGGAAGGCTCATTGTCGGTGGCAGCTGGAGGCTCCCGTCCAAAAAGCTGTCTGCCAGCCAGTCCCTCACGAAGGATTTTGACCACTCGAGCTCTCCCTCGCTCCTTGTCAAGCCCAGGTAGTACACGGGCAACTTGGTCTCAGCCAGGGCGGCTCTGCTGAAGTCACAGGTGTGCGGGCTCAAGTCAATGCACAGAAACGCACTTCTCGTACCCGCAGTGGCTCCAACTGTGGAGTCCTGGGCCAAGAAGCCTCGGAGGATCGACCTCGCTGCTGACTCTCCGATCTGCATTGCCTTCTCTGGCTGGGGCACATGGACATGGGCATCGGTGGTTGTTGGCAATGCCGCAGGATCCAGATCCTCTATCGCCAGAAGGTCCCGGGTCTGGGGAAGGTCCGCCTCTTCCAATAGGGGTTTTCTGAAAATGGCGGACAGTCGCCAGTTCTCCTGAGCCCGTTCAGCAGCCACTTCGTCCATCGGCATCAAAATGCGGGTGAGCATGAGCAGTGGCCTGACACTGTCACAGTCAAGTGAATCACACGTGACCAGAGTCCCACATCCCGGAATAACAACACAAATCAAACCCCATTGAACCTCTTCTCTCGGTCGTCGTTGCGCCCTTTGTAGGGCACCACAGCAACGTGGTCGAGATTGAGGTTGGACTCCGCAAGGAGCCTCAAAGCCTCCTGCTCTGTCTTGTGAAGCTGACCCTTGTTGTATGTAAACGTAGGTGTCAGGCACACGCCTCCAGCCACGGCATTCCTTAATTTAATTGCTTGTGACTGTGTACAGAAATTGAAAAGGACCTACGCAAACTTCATCATGCCAGAATCTGGCAAGCTACTGCCCATTCAAGATGGCCCCCATCAAAGATGCTTGATCTCGCTGAACTTGGGACGAAAACAAAGAGGGTGCACACCAATTCAGGATGACGATGCACTTCAAGTTCTCCGCCGAAATCTGGTTTAGCCTGCAGATGTACTTCATGGCCTCTTGGATGGTCTTGAGGCCCTGGGCTGCTGACTCCAAAACAGCAAACTCCATCCTCCAAGTTTCCGAGCTTCGCCGCATGATGCCTTCAGCCATCTCCTTGGCTCGATTCTGCCTGCCAAGCCTCCACTGAAGATTCTGATGATAAACCCCGGCTTCGCGATCGCGGCTCCGAACAAGCCAAGCACCATACACGTCCATGTCGTGTCGCATGGAAGCAATGGCAAGATCGAACTCCTGCCGCTCCAGCTGTCCCGGATTGATGCTGTTCGAAACCGCACCAAGGTTGCGAAGCTTCTTCTCCCCGTCTGCGACATGCTTTTGGATGTATTCCCTGAGCACCAGAATGTCTGCAGGAGCAAGGTTGCTTCTCTTCTCTGAAAGGGCTCCTTGGAGCTGCAGAAGCAAGTTCATGTCTCCCTGCACCAGGAGTGTGCATACGTCTTCCTTGACCTGCAGGGGCACTGAGTCCTCCAGCTCATGAACAAGGGAGTGCAAGAGCTGGCATACCAAAGCGGCCTCCTCCACATCCGACCCGCTGAACTTGCATCGTGAGCCTGCAAGCTTCATCCGGTGTCGATTGTCCAGGTACTTGATCATGAGGCAGAAGCCTTCGTCCGTCACCTGGAGCCGACTGTTCCATTCTCTGGGGTAGCCCTTCGGCCCACCACCTGGCAACACCTTCTTGTTGCTCCATTGGTTGTCGTTGAATGCTCCTTGAGACCCGAACTCGTTCAAGTGTTCGAGCAGCGCATCGACGCAAAACTGTGGCAGATTCAACAGGGACAACAGGGCCGTGTGCTTGGCCCCTTTGATCTGCCCATCCTTCGTGCACGTGCGGTTCCACTCCTTAATGATACTGGTTGCATCATGATTGTGCTTCTTCAGCACCATCATTTTGGCCAGCCATGTCAAGCAACCTCGCTCAAAGGGTAACTGATGACATAAGAACACCGAAACTACACACCCACAAAACCCAGCTGTCCAAGGAGCAGTGAGCCTTGCGAATGTCCCCGCGTGCACTCATCTTTGCGTTGAACAGGGCCACTGAGGCAATGTCACAGCCACAGTCTGCCTGTGTGACATGAATCTCACACATGCTCTCCTGCACGAAGGTCTTCAAATGGAAGCCGTACCGCATGACAAGGCTGGCCAGCACAAGGCATGCTGCTGACCTTGCGGCTCCTTTGGCAAAATGAAGAATGAAATCGTTCCTCCCAGGGTCCTGTGCCTGGTAGACCATCAGGGGCTCTGCTCGGGTCGCCACTCCACTTGTCAAGTACTCATCCAGCAATGATCTCACGGTGACACGGTCAGGCACCGGCTTTGTGGAGCAATCGGGTCGCCACTCCACTTGTCAAGTACTCATCCAGCAATGATCTCACGGTGACACGGTCAGGCACCGGCTTTGTGGAGCAATCCGGGCCCCAGTTCAAGTGCCAAAGAGATACGCTGAAGTTGCCAGTCGACGGAATCACATAGGACAAGAGGTACTCTACCTCGGGCTTCTGTGGGAAGAGGGCACGAAGCTGATCAGCAAACGCAGACCGGTCTTTGTGAAAATGGTCGAGATACGCCCAACAGTTCTTGAACCTGTTCACCTCCTTCTCGAAAATGTCCAGAACAACATCGCGGAAATTCTCGTCGGTCACTGTCTCGTGAGGAAAGGTCGTGTCGCTTTCCTCCGACTTCGCGACCTCCATCTTCACATCCGCCATGACAAACAGCAGCCCTAAAGGCGGGTGTCCAGTCTAAAGCCAAGACTTCGCGACGAGAAAAGTTGTCATTTTGCAGGAATTCGGAGACTCCCACACAGGCCAAATCTGACGAACAGGGGGGTCCGAGCTCAGGGGGGGGAGTACGTCAGATTTCAAACGTAATCTGACCATCTTCATATAACAGATGGAGGATCTGACCAACGCAGGGTCACGAGCTCAGGGGGGGTAGTACGTCAGGTTCATATAACAGAACAAGGAGTACGTCAGATTTCAAACGTAATCTGACGATCTGGGGGGTCTGAGCTCGCAGGGTCCTGATCGTCAGGTTCTGCAATTGTACAGACTCCGTTGCTCTCTCTCTTGCTCTCTCTCTCTCTCTCTCTATCTCGTCTTCTTCTCTCACTCTCTCACAGAGTGACGACAGCTCTCTCTCAGAGCTTCATACAATGCTACTACGTAGTCCTGCACCTTCTTCTCGTCTTCTGATCTCACTCTCTCACAGAGTGATAGCTCTCTCTCAGAGCTTCATAGAATGCTACTCTGTAGTCCTGCACCTTCTTCTCACCCGGGAAAAGCCAACTTCTAACACGGGCTGACAATCACACTGGTCACATGAGCACACTGCAGCTTCAATCAATCAGAATTTCCAGCGGTCTGCATCTCCAAAACAACATTGAGTGCCAGGCATCTTTCTTGATCTCCATGTCATCAGCATGACCTGATGATGTTCGTTTTCCAGCTTCTAGCAGCAGAGATGCACACTTCCGGGAACAAGACAGAGGCTGTGCTCCTGCTGCCTGCTACGTCTCTGTCGTGCAGAATCAAAGCTTCGCATGTTTTTCCTCATACTTGAATTGCTCTCTTAATTGGTCTGACGATGCAATGTGAATCGGTCCGCTGCCGCTGCACTGCTGTTATTTCTAAGATCGTGCTTAAAAGAACAATAGGACACAGAATAATTGCCTTGTGCGAACAGCTACGGTGCATGTGTCGTAGCAGCATAAACCACGTGGGCCAATTCTTGGCACAACTGTGGTGTGTACTGCTGACAAAACTCACTCAAAGGAATAGAGCCGTTCAGGTTAACAAAGCCACGTATGTGCTTGTGTCGCCTTGTGCAGGAACATTGAAACTTTTCAAAGTGGAGAATGTGCGGGCTGTTCGACATGAAACGAGTCCGCTTTCTTATCGGCTCCTTGGTGATAGGGTCCTCCAGACCCAGGCGGCACTGATCGAAAGCACAGGAATAGCAGTTGCTCAGATGCTTCTTTACACACGGCTGTTCCCAGGAGAGTGCATCGACCGGGTGCTCGAAACCAAAGAACCTGCCCTCCTTCACTTGCTCGTCTGCCATCTGCATTGCAAACTCCAGCATAACATCAGCTTGGAGTTTGTCCGCAGCCACTTCAGCTGGAGGCCTTCGCGCAAAATTCTTAAAGCATATCTGCAGTCGGCTGTACATGCGACAGGGCGGGCTCAACATGAGGAACAGGGGTTTCATCTCTGTCACAATGCGACGAGCTCTGGCTCGACCTTCCATTGTCACGAAATCATAGCCTGTCTTCAGGTCCATCGCTGGTCCAACTTGGAGGCCCAAACGCCGCACTGCAAACGAAACCCTTGGCACGCTATAAGCTTCTGCAAAATGAGTGATCGTCATGACCTCATCCTCCTCATCATCGCTCACAATGACAACGGCACTGTCAGAGGGCATCTTGCTATCCACATCCCGGTCCTCATCATCGCTCATAACGACGATGCTTTCAGATGCCATGTTCCTCTGCTTTGTCGTGCTCGACAGAACAGCTACTGGCTACAGTCTTATCCTGCACGTAGCACATTGAGCCTGTGTCCTTCTCTACAAGAGAACAGTCTTGGATCTCGTCATTACGGTCTCACTCACTGTGTGCTACGTGAGCCAATGAAGTCCAGGACGTCTCAAGTCCAGCTCAATCGGAATTCGATGTGGCTCACAGAGTGAGAGCTAACCGAGGCTGCTTGCCTGCTGCACGCCAGCTCAGGGCTGGACCATCCTCCCGGGCAGCAGCCTGCAAGAGAGCACAACGAACAACAGATGCTCAAGCTCCTGCCTGAAAGCAAACATCTATGCACTTGCGCAGCAGATTGATGTCATGTTTTCAAGCTCTCTGTCGCTGTGTCAGAATGTCACGGACTGCAACTCACACGAGCGGATGATTGGCAAAGTGCCTTTCCATCTTTCTGCCTACGATGCTGCTTCAGATCTGCCCTGGCCTCGCTTTTTGTTTTTACCTAGGTTGCTTTTGCGAATAAGATATTCTGTCCAGAGTCGACGAGTACGCGAGGCGAGAGGCTGAAGCATCATGACCCATCGGCCCAAATCCAGGCCGTCTTTTCATCATTCAAAACTAGACCCTGCTTGGCCCGACATCTTAGACAACCAATGCGCCTGTTGTGGACGCACTTCGGGCATCCCAGAGTGCACCTTTCATGCACATCGTCTGGAAAGGGCAACATCCCATACCTGGGTTTCTTTCCTCGTGGCTCGGCGGATGCACCTTCACCTTCTGCTCCGCTGGAAGCTGGAGTGCCCGTTGCGGCCTTCGCCTTCGCTTTTCCTTTAGCCTTGCCTTTGGCCTTGGGTTTCACTTGGGCACTGGCCAACGGTGGTATCGGCACTCGAAGCGGCGCTCCCTGTGCTGCACTCGCAGAGGTCGCCGGTGCAAGCTGCGGAGGCTGCTGGTCGTCGTCATCCGGCAACGGCACATCGTCTGATGCCTCGGCCACCTTCTGGACTGGCTTGGACTTGGCAGCTGTGGCCACCTTCTTATTCACTTTCACAGAAACGGGCGCTGGAGCACGATTTGTGAAGCTCAGATCCATCGCCTCGGCTGGCGATGGCTGCTGGGCCTTCACAGCTGAAGCATCTGCTGCCTTCAGGGACAGACGAATGTCTGGAGCAGACCAAGGAGCGGTCAAAGGAGAGGCATTGTTCCTGATCATCGTCCTCAAGTAAGAGCTGGCCCGTCCCATGTTCCATGGCATTTTCGCAATCTGAATCGCTGTTTTTTCAAACTCCTTGGCTTGTGTGTCTGAGAACTCCCTGCGTGGGGCCAGGGGCAGGCTCGCAAAATCGATGTCTCTGCCAACACATGCAGGAATGAAGACAATGGGATCCTGGCACTGATCTGGCGAGGAGATGTATTGGAACATCTCCAAGATGATATCATCCTCATGTGGCGGGAACAAAAGGCACTCTCGCACAGGATGATCCTCGGTTGGATTGTAGTGCTTCCGCTGCACCAAGGAGAAGACATGGATGGCCTCCTCGCCCCTCTGTGTCATGGCGGCTGTTTGCACATGCCCTGCCAACTGTATGGCAGCGAACTCCTCCAGAGCGTCTTTGAAGTTGTAGCTGCCCTCAATCTTCTCCACGTTGATCTTCTGACCCGGCTTGGGCTTCATACCCCCTGCCACCACAGACATGAAGTCTTCAGGTGTCTCCAGGTCCTCGCTGTCAGCCAACAGGGACCGCACCACGCTGAACTTCTGATCAACGGGACCATGAGAATGTCCAACGCGGAAGCTTGTCAGCAAGAACTCCCGGCACCATCCCTGCCGGACCAACACGGCCCCTGCTTTCAGAACAATCTGATTTTTGGTCTCGCCTGCTGCATTATCACTGTGGACCCTGATCACCTTTGGCGCAGATGATCGCTCCTTCATGGCCCTTTGCAGTGTGCGAAGCAGCAGTGTAAGCATGAGGTTGGAGTCTTTCACCACATCTTGGTCCAAAACATAGTAGTCTTCGCAGAACCTGTCCGCCAAGACAGCGGTAAAAGTATTTTCCGGTCTCCACAGCTTCTGAAATTCTTTGGACGCCGACAAGCGCCGTGGGCACTTAAATTTGGCGCAGTCCATGCTGTCGATCGTGAGCGACACCATGGTTTCTCCAGAGCTGCCTTGAGCATTCAGCTCTGCATCCATGCGCCGGTCGTCTAGCATCGACTGCAGGTGCTGGCAGTAATCGTTCTTGATGAGCTGCCGGGCCTCTGGACCGGTCGCCACACGCATCCACTGCTTCAGCTTCTCACACTCGGCGCACTTGGAGTGCTGGAGGTCGTACCTGATCTTGAGCCGCCCATGCCAGGATTGGTGAAAGCATCGGACAAACGTCGAGTAGCTCGGGGCAGGGTCCACCGGCATGAAAGACATCGCCTCAGGGCGCCATGATGTATTTCCCAAATTACCTGCCCAACCGAACCTATGGATTCTATTGAAACTGCTGTTGCTGCTTTCTCAATCTGTCTCCGGCCGGGGGACAACCTGGCGCATCTCTGTGAAGGTCGTGTGTGGCGGCAGATAGCGAACCACTTCATCGCCCAGGGCTGACTCTTTCAAGCGGCCGCTTTTGTTGAAGCTGCCCAGCTTCATCTTCGTTGAGGTGAAAACATCACCAGACTCCACCAAAGGCTCGGCCATGTGCAGATGCACCCACGCCAGCAAACTATGAGCATTCACCTCTGCTGGGTTCGAGGACAATTGGCTCGAGACGACCTTTCGCAAGTCGTTCGGTGGCTCTAGGAAGCCCTGTGCCTGGTGCTTCTGCATCTTCGCAAACCGCCTAGTGCTCATCTTCAGCAAGCCACACATTGCCATTCTGCATACTTTCACCCCGCAGAAAGTGTGCTGCCGCCACCCAGACCCAGTGTGCCAATTGCGCATGCAATCATAGCGGATTCTATCCGAATCTGATTTTGAAGCAGCTTGCAGTGCTTGTTGCAAGTCATCTACGATTCGTTGGGAGGAGCTGCTCTCGCCCAACACCATCAAACATCCTTGCCGGCAGCACCCTCCATTTCTTTCATTTTCTCCATCACTGCCAGAAGGCAAGCTGACAACTTCTGCATCGGAAGAACTTGAGGGCAGCTCCACTTCCTCCACACTCGCCATGGTATCACGGAAGTCCTAGAACCGATGATCTCTTGCTCTCATGTATATCACGGATGCTGAAGATTCTC